CTACAGAGGAATAAATAAAAAACAGAGGGGCTGTGGATTCCCCACAGCACATACAGGGGGCGCTGTGTGGATGGAGACCGCACTGTGGAAGGGGTCCACACTATGTCACCAGCAGGATTTGGAATTTGCACTTTGATCTGATGACTTTCAACCTATAGAAGTAATTTGGCTTGTTTTTGGGCCAAGTGTGACCAACATTCAGTAGGGATAGATATTGGCTAATTGGTTAGCACTTCCACTTGACAGTACTTGGGTTGTTGGTTTGAATCCCAACCAGGGCTCCACCTGCCAGGAGTTTTCATGTTCTCCCTGTGCCTGCATGGGTTTCCTCCCACACTCCAAAGACATGCTGGGAGGTTAATTGGAACCTGTCTAAATTGACCCTAGTATGTGTATGTATGAATGTAAGTTAGGGACCTTAGATTGTACACTCCTTGAGGGTTAGGGACTGATGTGAATGTACAATATATGGAAAGTGCTGCGTAAATTGATGGTGCTATAGAAACACCTGAAATAAAAAATACTGACTCAGGTACCTGACATCAAAAAGCCTTTCCTTAGGACTGATATGGGCAGGGACAAGAACCTTTGGAACCCAAAGAAAAAAGGCCAAAGTGTGCCCTTCCCTCCCCCCATGAGCTGTGAACTACTTCAGCAGCATAGGTTTCAGGTTTGGCCTTTTAAGGCTCCTCTTGCTGAAACACCCAAAGTGGCCTCCTCCTCCTCTGCCTACCCCTTGGCCCATCCCTGGTCAGAGGAATTTTCATGAGTATGATTCATGTTCTAGGGGAAATACAGACACTCCTTATTTTAGACACTGTGATAAATAATATGGAGCTTTTTCACCTTTGGCTCCATAGACAGCACCCCCATGGTGTTTGCCCCCATCAAAGAGCAAGCAGGGTGGGCTGTGCCATAATTACCAATCGCCATTAATCCATAACGCTGCTTTCACCATGATGCATGGATTTTATTTTCAGTGACTTTTATCTCTGTTCATGTCACTTGATACACTCTTATACTATTAAATCTTACCGTATTATATGGCTTCATACAGCTATATTTTACAGGAAGTGGCAGGCACAAATTACATGATCTGCTAATTGTTGGATTTACCATTTCGATGGACTTTATGGATTTTTAATCCCTATGAGTTCTTACCTTGGATACACTCATCTTCCTCTGGAGCGTTCCTTATTTGAGAACTTGGTATCAACTTTCTGCTGTAATATTGTCAGTGATCACCAGGGGTCACTAGAAGTCATAGCAGTCCCCCAATATGTGAAATGCCTGGGATGTTCATAGGACAGTGTATAGACCCCTGTGCATGGCGTGGGTCTGTATTAGCACTGCTTTTCTCCCTGTTCAATGGTAATGGAAAGGCAGCTTGGAGTGGTAAAGGAGGTCAGGAAGAGGTCAGAGGTACCTGCAAAAAAATCCCAAATCTCAAATGCAAGTCATCTGTTTCTGAAAACATGCAGCTTTATTCCATCCAGGTCCTGAGTCAAAAACAATACTGATGTGCGATATGGGGGGTGACAGTTGAACAAGCTGCTGACATATGGGGATGATGGGTGAACAATCCTCCGACATACAGGGGGTGACGGGTGAACAATCCTCCGACATACAGGGGTGACGGGTGAACAATCCTCTGACATACAGGGGGTGACGGGTGAACAATCCTCCGACATACAGAGGGTGACGGGTGAACAATCCTCCGACATACATGGGGTGACGGGTGAACAATCCTCTGACATACAGGGGGTGACGGGTGAACAATCCTCCCACGTACAGGGGGTCGCACGTGAACAATCCTCCGACATACAGGGGGTGACGGGTGAACAATCCTCTGACATACAGGGGGTGACGGGTGAAATATCCTCCGACAGGGGGTGACGGGTGAACAATCCTCCGACATACAGGGGGTGATGGGTGAACAATCCTCCGACATACAGGGGGTGACGGGTGATCAATCCTCCGACATACAGGGGGTGATGGTGTGAACAATCCTCCGACATACAGGGGGTGATGGGTGAACAATCCTCCGACTACAATGGGTGATGGGTGAACAATACTCCGACATACAGGGGGTGACGGGTGAACAATACTCCAAAATATAGGGATAACAGGTGAACAGTTCTCTGACATACAGTTGTCAGGCACACAAGGTGACACACACGGGTTAAAATGGCAATTAAAGGTTATTTTCCCACATCTGTGGCTTTTTAAATTGCGTTTGTCAGCTCTCACGTGGATGCATACTGAGCCATGGGGAGCAGAAAAGAACTGTCAAAAGGCCTGCGTAACAAGTTAATGGAACTTTATAAAGATGGAAAAGGATATTAAAAGATATCTAAAGCCTTGAATATACCAGTCAGTACTGTTCAATCACTTATTAAGAAGTGGAAAGTTCGGGGATCTCTTGATACCAAGCCAAGGTCAGGCAGACCAAGAAAGATTTCAGCCACGACTGCCAGAAGAATTGTTCAGGACACAAAGAAAAACCCACAGGTAACCTCAGAAGAAATACAGGCTGCTCTGGAAAAAGACAGTGTGGTTGTTTCAAGGAGCACAATACGATGATATTTGAACAAAAATAAGTTGCATGGTTGAGTTGCCAGAAAGAAGCCTTTACTGTGCCAATGCACAAAAAAGCCCAGTTACAATATGCCTGACAACACCTTAACACACCTCAGAGCTTCTGGCACACTGTAATCTGGAGTGACGAAATCAAAATAGAGCTTTATAGTCACAACCATAATGCCTATGTTTAGGGAGGGGTCAAGAAGGCCTATAGCGACAAGCATACCATCCCGACTGTGAAGCATGGTAGTGGCTGACTGATGTTTTGGGGGGGGTGTGTGAGCTCTTAAAGCATGCAAAATCTTGTGAAAATTGATGGAAAGATGCACACAACTTGCATTCTTCTGCATGAAAGCTGCGCATGGGACGCTCTTGGAATTTTCAGCCCAACGCCAAGTTAGCCCTCCAGTGGCGACAGCAGAAAAAGTTGAAGTTTCTGAAGTGGCCATCACAGTCTCCTGACCTTAATATCATCAAGCCACTCTGGGTAGATCTCAAACATGCAGGTCATGTAAAGCAACCAAAGACTTTTAATGACATGGAGGCATTTTGCCAAGATGAACGAGCAGCCATACCACCTGCAAGAATTCAGGGGTGAGAAAAGAACAAAGAGAGGGCGCACAGGCCTAGTGCATTACCATAAAAATGTTTAATAAGAAATAAAATAGGTGTTGTACTCACAAACGACAATAAAGTCAAGGCACGTCATAAAAGAACAGCTGGGTCAACACCGCGCTGAGTTAACAGTCCGTAATGGGGAATGTAGACATCCAATAGGCTGACGCGTTTCGAGGACTTACCTCTTCCTCAGAGCATTCGGGGGTTTCATAGAGAACTATTATAAAAGACTGCATGCTGTCATTGATGCTAAAGGGGGCAATACGCCGTATTAAGAACTAAGGGGGTGCAGACTTTTGAACAAGGGGCATTTCATTTGTTCACTTATTTCCATGTTTTGTTTTATGATTGGGCCATTCTGTTATGACCTGCAGCTGAATATGAATCCCATAAGAAATAAAAGAAATGTGTTTTGCCGCTCACTCGTGTTTTCTTTAAAAATGCTGCCTACTGTATATTACCAATTCTCCAAGGGGGGCACAACTTTACAGGGGGTGACAGGTGGAGGGGGATCACACAATCCATGAACATGGTCTCATCCCCCCAAATCTCTGGATGATGAAAGAGATGTTAGCATTAAAGTCCTTAGTGAATGTGAGGTTATGATATTATAATCAGGATGGAGAGAACATTTCCAATGGGCAGAATCTGAACCGAAATTACCTGATAAATATTCATCTTCTCAGTGCAGTTTAATATTTATCCTAGAAGGCACATTTATCTTTTTATGTGAGGAAGTCGGCCAGGCCAGGCATTGCATGTACAGCATGGGACTGAGGAGTGCTGGAGAGAAGAATCATGACGATGACTTATTTAACAAATCTAAAATGTAGGAGTTCGAATCCAGGATAGGTAGCAGCGTCAATCACTGCCATTTATGATTTGTGTCTTTATTACTGTAGGTCCTGCCAGTAGATCCAATGATTTTGAACCTTCTTCAGCAGTGCGACAATGCTGCTCATCCTTCATTGAAATCTCTCCAGCCTTGTCACCTTGTGGATTCAAAGTTTTAGGCAGACTTTACCTTAGCACCCAAGAAAAACCCATATACATCCATTTTTTAATGTCAATGTAATCTAATGTCATGAAATAAAATAATTTCTTACTGTTTGTCTGTCTCCCTGCAATGATCTCATTGAGTTCCCGAACCTATCCTTTTCCCACTCACTTTCATTTGTGTGGAACAAGCAGTTGTGGTCATGTGCACTGCCAGTGGTGCTGCCCTAGGCAACACTAAAATCGCACTCCCCCCCCCTTCCCACCGACACCACCACAGGCTATCACTGAAATTCCCCCCCCCCCCAATCACCCCGCTACCCCCACATGCCACCCCAATTGGCCAACACACATCTCCCTCCGCCCCCCACCATCACGACTACTTGATTCATGCACTAATTTAACCTTCAGAATGAAAGAAGTAGCCAGCTGTCCCCATGCCCTCCAGCAGCACACAGCTTCCCCAGATCTCATGGGAGAGCTGGCCAGGTCCCTTTCCCTGCCACTTGTGTCCCTTCTGCCAGGGACGGCGCCACCCCCCTGAAGATTGCTGCCCTAGGCAGTGTACATACACCACTGTGTGTAGTCCTTAGTCCATCTCAGAAACCTTGTGGCCAGGGGCTGACTGACAACTCATGGGGCCCCCAGGCAATAGGGGATCATGGGGCCCTTGTATCCTTGCCCAAACTCAAAAAAGCCTATGAAAAAGGTACCAGGGGCATCTCATGGGGCCCCCTACTGACCCCGGCCCTCGGGCAGTGCCCGAGTTTCCAATTGGTCAGTCCGCCCCTGTGTAGGTTCAGTCTGCCCCTGCTTGTGGCACAGAGTGGGACCACCGAGATGGTCGAGACCATCAAGAACAAATGTAGTCACCAGAGCTAGTGTCCCCATTGGAAGATTTCCCCTCTATTACTTTTCTGGGGACAACCCAAAATTTGGTATTTTCTTACTTTCACTTTTAATGGTAAACAGGGCAAATAATGAGGAGAAATCTCCTTAACAGGGGGCACAGACAGCTATAGAAAACTGACAGGGGTCTAATCCATCTACACTCTGTCCAAAATAAAAATAAAAAAAATAGCCTTTAGTTATACTTTAAATCTGAATTCAGTGTCACGTTAAGCAAGTGACAAACAAATAAAGTCCAACTTATTGATCAGCTGACCATTATTACCGCCCCACAGTGTTATATGGTCTGTCCCAATTGCCACTTTTGCCAGACAGCTTGGCCTGCATGTAAATGTAGGGCAAAATATAAAGGCATGTGAGATACAAAAAAATTATTAATATACCAAATACTAGGATTGTAAGTATTAACCCCACACAGCTACCCTACCACAATACAATATTTTGATGATGGTGGGTTTTTACCGGACAGCTTGGCCTGCATGTAAATGTAGGGGAAAATATAAAGGCATGTGAGATAAAAAAAATGTATTTATATACCAAATACTATGATTGTAAGTATTAACCCCACACAGCTACCACAATACAATATTTTGATGATGGTGGGTTTTTACCGGACAGCTTGGCTTGCATGTAAATGTAGGGCAAAATATAATGGCATGGGAGATAAAAATAATTATTAATATACCAAATACTATGATTGTAAGTATTAACCCCATACAGCTAACCCAATACAATATTTTGATGATGGTGGGTTTTGCCAGACAGCTTGGCCTGCATGTAAATGTAGGGCAAAATATAAAGGCATGGGAGTAAAAAAAAAATAATTAATATACCAAATACTATGATTGCAAGTATTAACCCCACACAGCTACCACAATACAATATTTTGATGATGGTGGCTCTTAAAACAAATTTATAATAGAGATGTATGCTCATCGGCAGCTTTTCTATCATAAATATTGAGACTCAACAGAAAATAAGAAAAACAGAACAGAAATTATGGCTTTAGTGTGGAGCTACAGAAAAAAGCACCAGAAAGGATATAGCACCTAACAGGCTATCAATGGCAGTTAATAAATACTGCCATTGATAGTCTGTGAGGTGCTATATCCTTTCTGGTGCTTTTTTTCTGTAGTGCATTGTTTTTGATTGCATCTCCCTGATGTAGGGTTGGGCACTGGCTGATATACCATTCCTAGGACTAGGCTTTGGCTGTGGGGGTTTTTATACTTTATAGAGTGGAGCACCAGAACACCCCCTAAGGCATTGAGGTCACCTCTTTTATTAATTTTAAGGCACCTCTTTTATTAATTTCTACTACTAATAGCAGCTATTTTGTCATTATAAATATATATATCCCTTGTAAAATTCACAGAGTTTGTATTGTTACTAGATTGTAGAGATGGCAGAGATGTAGCTGTCCAGGTGAGAGATGTATAGAAGGTGTTTCTGATCCTTCAGCTAGAGGGCGCTACAGACCAATCAGCATTTGTCATCCACAGCCAGGGAAATTCGCAGAGGTGCGTAATATACAGGTCAGGCATTGTGCAGGCTCAGCGGTGGATCTGTCTACGTAACCTAGAGCATATTTCTGAACAGATCTTTTATTTTCCTGTATGTGCAATGTTTAAATTGTGTTCCTTTACTGTGTGAACTGCACCTGGTTGTCCCTATGCTTCATACAGATCCATTTCATAGTCCTTTTAGTACCAGGGATACCTTTCCTTTAAAGACTTGGTTGTCCCCATCAGGGGCGGACTGACAACTCATGGGGCCCACGGGCAATAGGGGATCATGGGGCCCCTGTGTCCTTGCCCACCAAAAAAGCCAATAAAAAAAGGTCCTTGGGGCCCACACTGACCCCGGGCATTCGGGCAAGCCAATAAAAAAGGCCCCTGGTACCACAGATGGGCAGCTTTCATGGGGCCCCCTACTGTGCACCAAAGGGCCCCATTGCTCCAGAGCTTAGTAAATGAGCAGAAACTCTACTGACTTCCATCATCCAATCAGGTGCAAGCAAATTGCTGGGTTTTTTCATTTTTTTATTTTTCTTGCATGTGATTAGGTATTCTTCGCAAAGTGAAGCTTTACCCCATTTACTAAGGAACTGCACGTTGCAAAGTGCACAGTCTCTTTGCCTTTAGTAAATCAACCCCATAGTATCAGGGATAATGCAAGGCTGCTGGAAGCTTTCCTTTAAAGTGAACCTGTGACTATAGAAACACAGGGCTGCCTTTGCTGATCTTTTGCTGAAAATGTTCATAACACATTTCCCTAAAGTAGTAATAAACCCGGGCTGATCGGCTCAAACACAACCTGCATAGGTGTGAACCTAGTCTAACCAGTTGCAGACCGCAGGTAGCCGAATGACGGCTGCACGGTGGCCGGAAAGTTCTGGGAGGCCGTCATATGACGTCCTCCCAGAATGCACCCTTTTGCGCTCCCCCAGGGTGCGCACCCAGCAATCTCCATGATCACTGTGTCCTACAGACACAGCTGATCACGGGATGTGGTAAAAGGCCAATCACAAACACCTTTTACCATGTGATCAGCCGTGTCCATTAACATGCTGATCCCTGGGAAATGCCGGCTCTCGGCTGCACTTTCCTCACGCTGTCAGAGCAAAGTACTACTGAGAACCATATTTATTAGTACTTTCAATAAAATCTAATTTAAACAATAAGAAAACATGCCATAAATCAAAGACCAATCAACACAAATGGCACAGTACAGGGGGAGGGAGGCAGAAGGGCACAGTACAGGGGGAGGCAGAAGGGCACAGTACAGGGGGAGGCAGAAGGGCACAGTACAGGGGGAGGGAGGCAGAAGGGCACAGTACAGGGGGAGGGAGGCAGAAGGGCACAGCACAGGGGGAGGGAGGCAGAAGGGCATAGTACAGGGGGAGGGAGGCAGAAGGGCACAGTACAGGGGGAGGGAGGCAGAAGGGCACAGTACAGGGGGAGGCAGAAGGGCACAGTACAGGGGGAGGGAGGCAGAAGGGCACAGTACAGAAGGGAGGGAGGCAGAAGGGCACAGCACAGGGGGGGGAGGCAGAAGGGCACAGTACAGGGGAGTTAGGCAGAAGGGCACAGTACAGGGGGAGGGAGGCAGAAGGGCACAGTACAGGGGGAGGGAGGCAGAAGGGCACAGCACAGGGGGAGGGAGGCAGAAGGGCACAGTACAGGGGGAGTTAGGCAGAAGGGCATAGTACAGGGGGAGGGAGGCAGAAGGGCACAGCACAGGGGGAGGGAGGCAGAAGGGCACAGTACAGGGGGAGTTAGGCAGAAGGGCATAGTACAGGGGGAGGGAGGCAGAAGGACACAGTACAGGGGGGAAAGAGGCAGAAGGCCACAGTACAGGGGGAGGGAGGCAGAAGGGCACTCTACGGGGGGGGGGGGAGAAGGGCACGGTACAGGGGGGAGACAGAAGGGCAGAGTAAGGGGGGGAGGCAGAAGCACATAGTACAGGGGAGGGAGGCAGAAGGGCACAGTACAGGGGGAGGGAGGCAGAAGGGCACAGCACAGGGGGAGGGAGGCAGAAGGGCACAGCACAGGGCGAGGGAGGCAGAAGGGCACAGTACAGAGGAAGTCAGGAGGGCACAGCACTGGGATCAGGAAGGCACAGTACAGGCTCTGGGATGCTGCCCAGGATATCCCGGGACAGTTTGGTAAAAAGAGTGACTATCCCTGCAAATCCGGGACAGTTGACAAGTATGATGTAATGCAAGATTATCATGGGGCCCCAAGCACCTGGGGCCCCTGGGCATTGCCCAGAGGTGCCCATGCATTAAGACAGCCCTGATCATACTGCATAGCCCTTCATTGTCAGCAGGCTGAAGGCAGGGATACTGCTGTATTTCCCTAGAGTACTGTCTATGCAGTGTGATGGGGAAGGAAGGGGATCATAGAAGCAGATGAATGGAGTTGCTATTTTTTTAATTTTTTTTTTTTCAGGAAGAATAGTCCCCATGTATGTATGTATTTCACTATTGGACTGAAGCTCAGCTTTTAAGTCTATGAGGTGGATTTACTAAAGGCAAATAGACTGTGCACTTTGTAAAGTGCAGTTGCTCCAGAGCTTAGTAACTTCCATCATACAACCCAATGTGCAAGCAAAAATGCTGTTGTTTAATTTTCCTTGCACGTGATTGGATATTCTTTGCAAAGTGGAGCTTCATCTCATTTACTACGTGCTGGAGCAACTGCACTTGCAGAGTGCACAGTCTATTTGCATTTAGCAAATCAACCCCTATGTCTCATAGTTGTCTCTTATTGATATGGCAAATAGGGATGATTTTGTGCATTTTTAAACTGTCTTGGCTTTGGAAGGTGCTATAGGGTAAAACAATACAAATAAAAAAAGAAAGAAAACAAAAGAAATAATAGACAAAAAAGCAAACATTGCTGTTTAACATTTTCATCTGTGTGTTCGCACAATACTTGGCACATCATATTACTCGATAAAGAAAAAAAAAAAGCAATACGGTTTTAATGTGTTTTTGTGTTTCATCTTGCGTATTGATTCTGACGCTGGTTGTAAAGGCAACCGGATTCTTTTTAAACATTTAATTGCTTTAAAAACAAGAATCTGAAAATGGTGTTTTGGCTAATAACAGATATTTACAATGTGCCGCCTGGTCACCTCTGACTGATTTCAGTTTGCTACATTTAATATACTTGCTGTTGATGTTTTTTTAAAATAATACAAAAGAAATCAATGGCTTCCAAATTGTTAAAAGAGTCTGGACTCTTTGCTACAGACTGTAAGGACCGTTCAGATGCTCAGCTATCATTGCCATCTCTCTAAAAAGCAATCTGTGGTGGATCACTTTTCAGAAGGATTTTCATGAGGTTGCTGACCCACCATGCTGCAACTGCATGCATTGCACAGAGATGCAGGAGGATTATGGGCTGGCCCTATTCACTTGAATGGGTCACCTCAAGCAGCAATACCACACGTTAAATGCAACATGCCATTTAATTTTTGCCACGAAGCAAAGCATGG